AAAGGTCTTTTCCAATCTAAATGATTCTGTGATTCTATGATCTTTTCCCTCACAGATGCTGCACCAGGTACATTAAATTACATTGACATTAAATTATACCAGGCAGCTGGGTATTTTGTGAAGCAGGTAGTACCTGTGCATTAGTGTGTGCACCTGTGCATTCACATACCTCCGTCTCTTAAAAGTGCTTTGGAAAGAAGAACAGAAGATGTGGTTTACATACGCTGGCAGCCCAGAGGGTCACTGCCGCTCAACCCGTAGTAGTTCGCCCTGCACTTGTCACAGCGGACACCCTCCACGTTCTCCTTGCAAGGGCACTGGCCTGCAACCATTCCCAGAGCAGGATCTGTGCGGCTCTCACACATGCCATCGTGCAACGTACCTTCTGGGTCACAGTTGCAGGCTACAGACATGGTTAAGGAGACACATAAAAAAAGCACATTTAGATATAAGCACGAAAACACAATTACAGAGCTGCAAGTAGGCACAAATTCAGGATTCTTGTAAAGATTAGAGATGTTTATCCATGCTCTCTGTGTTGGATGCTTTACCAGTAATGTACAGCCGCTGTTAAGAAATATTATGAGAGTGTTTCCAAGATCTACTTTTTCTTGGAGGAGAGTTACAGTCTTCACTTTAGTAGAAATACACCCTTTGCTTTGGGTAGAAATAGGTGTTACTCATCCACTCCCTACCCTCTCCACAGTACCAGGGGAAGAGAGGGACCTATAACTATAAAGTGTAACTTTTGGGGATGCTCTCATGAAAGCTGTAGGGTTGCAGAGGGGTACCAAGTGTGAGCCAACTCCCCAGAGCTGGTCTGAGTTGGCCATAGCTGAATTATTTACTGGAAGCGACAGATTCAGCAGGGGACACTGCCTTTGTGACGCATCCCATTTTTTCCTAAGGCACCACCCATTTCTCACAACAGAGCAGACATCTGCCACACCACTTCCCTGGGTAATCTCCCCTTGGCTCCTTAAGGACTTGTCATGCCAACCAATTACTACAATTAAATTATACTCAGAGCATTTTTCCCATCCTATGTTAATACTGAATTTAGCTCATCTTTCAGAAGAAGGGCTTTCATGCCTGAAAGCTTGTTTTTCTTATATATGTCAGGTATCTAGCAAAAGTTATTGCTCCTCCCATCATTTTGCACCTCTCCTGTAATCCCTCACTATCACAGAAGCAACAGCACTATTACCATTCATATTTATATTGATGTTGTTCAAGAAAGATGATTGCCCTGACGGATTTTAAAGCTCCAATGAGTTGGAATATGCAGCCCTTTTCACAATGCTGGTTCAAGGATGTTGTCATGCAGCTACTTTATAAGGTAGTTTGGATGTTATAGCTTTGGCAACATTTTTACAACCCTATGAATATTTAAGCATGGAGATGCCATAGGGCTCAGAGCAAAGAGAACCAGAACCACCCCGTTTTGAGTTATTCTTACAGAAGCTAAAGAAGCAAAGCTTACGGAGGCATGCATGAGGGTCCGAGATGACTTTGAGTGGATCCCGGTAAAAGAAACGTTTACACTGGTCACAGTGTTGCCCCGTGGTGTTGTCCTGACAGTCCTCACAAACTCCACCGCTGACCCCACCACTGGCCTGGTACATGGCCATGTCAAAGTGGCATCTGCCAGAGTGGCCATTGCAGTTACACTCTGAAACCAAAACAAACAGTGGGATATTTTGCACCACAATTCCTATTATTGTGGTCTTGCCACCGTTGCTGTCTACCATTAACATGGGGTTACTTGTTAGTCATGTGATTTCAGTGCCCCAGCAAGATTATAGCTTCCCAGGCCTTGTGCTTTACAGCTGGGGGGAAATTGGAGACTTATGACAGAACTGGGCCCTTGGAAAAGTACCCATGCAGGTGAGTGTGCCCAATACACAGTGGGGAACACTGCTCCATTGAAGAAAGATCTAGCTGCATAATTGTTACAGATCCTCATATATTATTCTTGTATATCCTACATTACTCATTACTGTGGAAATAAATAATTTGGCCTTGTCTAAATTCTTCTTTCATTCACAAGAAAAACCCTATGTAAAGCAATGAATGATCTTTTTTGCGTTAGTTTCTTTTCCTCTCTTTACTGTTTTTTTCTCTGTATGAAAAATAAGAACATGAAACAGCTCTCCTTCTTGTAGGGCAACACAGCACCAATGGATACACAATCCATCTGTTTTTCTATATGAGGCATGGAAAAATCTCCCTCCCAGAAACCCAGCCATCCCATTATACATTGCGCCGGGATTGTGCTACACCCACCCCGCAGCTATTGAAAAGGAAAATAAAATGTTTGGGTTACGTTTGCAAGCATTATCTTGTGCCCCTTCAGCTGGCCTCCAGGGAGCATCATTGTAGAAATCTTTACATCTCTCACAGGACAAACCTTCAGTGTTATGGTGGCAGATACATCTCCCGTGGACCTGCAACATGGTGAGAACAGAGAGGAGGTGAGGTGACATGAGAGGAGAGGACAGGAGATATCTGCTTGAGGTATGCCAGCAAGATCAGGAAAATTCAAAGCTCTTTGGCTCCCTCAGCTGACGTAATTCTCAGTTATTTGAGTAAAAGGTCTGGAGAATACCTGCACACTTTAACCAAACAGTTTTAAGCCACTGATCAACATTTAGAAAAAAAATACTGCCAGAGACATCAAAGGAGACTTCAACTTCTTAAATTCTCTCTCTCCTCCCCTACATGTCTCCATATTGAGGTACGTATTTCCCAGGAGAAAAAACAACTTGTTCCCAGAAGGAAAGGATTCGCAATCATGTTCCTGAATCCATTTTTCATGGGTTAGCTTTGCATTGCCAGGTATTCTTTGTGCCAATGCCTCCTCTCCTGCCACAGAGCCCCAGAGTCCAGCTGGAGTGTGGAATGCACCCAACGAGTGGCCATTCAAGTCTGCACACACCACAGCCCACTTACTGCATTACATTTGCACCATTACAGCTCTGGTATTTGGCTGCTATTTTCAGCATGTCTTGTCCCAGTTGCTCTTGAAACACCATACTAATGCCGACAAAGAGACAGCTTCTGAGCAATCCAGCCCAGGGTTTTAAAGGAAGAAGCTGTACTGAAACATTTTACAACTTGGAGTTGCAGATGGTCAATCCAATGGTCATCAGAGAGCTTCCTTCCTCTCCCTCCCTCCATCTCTTCCTTCCCTCAAAATACCAGGTATGGACTGCCCTTGTTGGAGACAGCTTTAATGACGCACCATTCCAGACTGATGGAAAACATCTCCCCGCAGATTCTGGACAGGATCACACTGGCTGGCGTGGCCATTGCAAAAGCAGCTGCCCCGCACAACCATCTCATAGACAGCGTAGTAGTACTTCTCGAGGGGATCACTGTGCCTTCTTCCAAGCAGAGCATCCCCAAGGGTGTGGAGTTTAGTAAAATTGATCCTCAGGTTTGTCAGCGTAATGAGCTCTGGAAGGAAAGAAGAGGAATGAAGAGCCTGAGTTCACTTGAAGATGAACAGTATGAAATCTTCGGCTTGGATCGGTCATCCAAGAATTCCCCCATACTGAAGAAATAGTGAAAATGATGTGATATTGGCCAAGACCAGTAACCCATACAGTGCCAGGGCACGGACCCACTGCTGGCACACAGCGTTAGCACCCTCCTTGGTACGGCTCTGGCTGAGGCCAACCTGTATTTTCCCAGTCAATGTCTTCATGCGTTCATGTACAGCCCTGGGATTGCTCCCAAAAGGCAGTGTGGATTGGGCCACCTAATCCCAGAAGGAAAGATAGTTCAGCTGCATGCATAAACTCTGCAGAGCTGTGCCGTTTGCCCTCAGGCAACAAGATTGGCCCATTTTATTTATTAATACAGGTGTCTCCCTATGATCTTTTGGTACCTAATTTTCAACATCATTGACTTACGCCAGCTGAGCTTTTCACCCTTTCAGTGTACAAAACAAACAACACCAGGAAAATATCTCTGGTGAAAATCTGTACTGTTCATACCTTGGATATATGGCACATACGGATTTTCTATTTCAAAGCTGGGATCCAAAGCTTTTAAAACAACCTGCAAAACAAATTAATACAGCTCTATAGAGCACTGAAGCCATTCTTTTTGGATATGAAGTTTGTACCTGAGACCCATTAGTTACTAATGCCACTTTACTGATCCCATAAAAGAAGAAACACAAGGCTGTGGCCCTGATTCAGCAAGTGCTCTCACCCTTTCAACCTGGCCTTGGCTGAGCAAGGCAAAAAGACCTTTTAGTGGATTGACATGTCAGGAGGAAGGAAAAGCAGTGCCCTAGAGTGATGTAGAGATGGGACTAACACCTACCAAAGGCATCAAAGGACAGGCCCCTGCCTTTAGCAGTAGAGGCTGACGGAGAGTCAAGATCTCTTATGAGGGGAACTTCCACATGAATTTGGAAAGCAGGAAAGAGCAGTAGAAGGGTTTGTTCAAGCTGTTTTATGAGTTCATTTGGATATGAAACTGAGGGTTAAGTGCAGTGTTTGTCTTTCCCTCTTACTTCAGTAAAGTCAATGGCACTTCTTGTCTCAGAACCTCTCTAAGTGGATTGGATGGATACAGACAAGAGACCTTCAGCCCCAGAAAAATAGCCACGTATGATCTAAACTCATACACAGATACTTGGCAATACCTCGCCTTCAGTGGAGGGTTCGATGTCTGAATATCTTGAATCACAAATGATGTCTCCCACACTTTTTGCTGGACCAGAAGAGATGTTGGGAAAAGAAGCTGCACAGTCCTGTGCAAAATATCTAAATGCTTTCCAGGTCTGACCAAAGTCGGTGGAGCGCTCAACCAGCATTGCTGCAGGCCGAAATGTCTGCAAGAAATATTATTTCAAGAATTCCTTAACCAGGTGTTGATAAGATATTTCAGGGGTTGTTCTATTGACATTCTTGTTTGGGGGATGCCAACAGCTGCCAATTAAAATTCTGTGTTTGTGAGCTTGCAGGCTCCCTACAGGGCTACTGTGCTGGCTACATGATTCTCTGAAAAAGCTGGATTCCTCATCTGAACCCGCTCAGCAAAAGGGAAGGGCAACCTTCCACATAGATATAAGATTACTTTCTAAGTAAGGAAGTTTACCATAACAATGTAGGAATATTGTAGAAAAAAAATCTGTAACCATCTGGATCATAATGGATATGTGTGAGAAGACTGAACTAAACTTGAAAGAGCAACGTCAGTTCAGAAATGTCCTAAATTTTTAGGGCTTAATTTTGCAATTTAATTTTTTTTCAGCTTTAATTCTAAGATTTATAGAAAATAGGACCAGAAGGCACGTGAATAGGAAGCTATTCAGTCTATCCTCTTCCCCTAAGGCAGGATCAACTATAACTTAACCATACTTGACAGGTGTTTATCTAACCTGTTCTTACAAACCTCTAAAGATGGAGCTTTCACTGCTTCTCTAAGCAATTTATTCTTGTGGTTAAGTAATTAGTGTATAACATTACATAAAAGCTCTGGTAAAAGATGTACCTTAAAAGTCAGGATAAGATGGCTGAACTGGAATAAAGTTTCTAGGTCCAATCTAATGCTGACATGGTCAACGCCTGAAAAGAGAATGAAAATGAAGTGAAGAGCACAATGTGCACATTAGAGGGGTTGCTGAGACAGCTTTCCTGTGGAGAATTTAAAGATGCCTTTTCCAGTACAGCAGCTAGGCTCTTTAGGGCCTCCCCTGAGCACAAACCCGGCATGCAGCTGGGTCGCTCTCTTGGGGGCAATGCGATGCGCTGCCTTTCCAGCACCAGCACCGGCAATGCCACTTGTCACTGAGACTGCAGTAGATGGTTAAAGGTCCTGTTCAGACCAATCAGACAGTAAGTGATGGTAAGACTCTAGGTTTATGTCTTCCTGTATCCAGTAAGATTTTTTAAAAATCAATCCAAATACTTTGCTTATTTCGAAGAAAAAAATTGAAACCAAATAAAAATATGGGGTTTTCTTCATGCTAAACAGATCTGTTAAACCCTTCTACACTGCCAGACCTGAGATTTGTCATAAGCAGAGCTGTCGCACCAGGCATCTTCCAAAATTGCAATAAGTATGGAAAAAAACCCCACAATTCACACATTCTCTGTAGAGAGTTGCAGGAGCTCAGCTGATATCCCCGTTGTTCACATCTACATGCAGCATCCCAGGGCTCCTGCTGACCAGGCTGTGCGTGAGACCTCATCCCAGCAGAAAGACGGCAAGAACAAGAAAAGATCCTCTCACAGCTGGCCACAGCTTTACTGACATCGATGTCCAAAACTGATGACAGTTCCTTGCTAAACTCCATGAAAAAACAAGGCTTATGAATTTTAGTTGGATACCCAAAATAAAGGTAACATATTATCTTAATTTTTCTATGCCTTAATTTCGAACCAGTCAAATATTTTTTACATATTCACTATATGCCAGATAAAGTAGAGTAGATGCTATTCCTCCTATCATGCCTTCACAGAGAAGCTATAAGGACATACAAAGTGATATGAGTGAAGAACTACTACAGAGAAGCTTGCAACAAAATTAAAATGTGGCAATAAGGGTGTTGGTAGCCAGGTTTCATTTAATTATTTCCTGAAGTATTTGTGCTTTACACTGCAAGCACTATTTTTTTTTTAAATGGATATTTGTGTTTTACACACTCTGTCATTACACATCTGTAGGTAAATGTACCTTTTGGCACAAATGACATTTCCCTGAAAAGCAGACACTCTGTGAAAAATACATGGTCACTGTGCATAACACAGCACTGCCACAGGTCCTCTGGCCAGCTCTTTGAGATAGTGTGCTTAAAATTTGTCTGTAGAAAAATAGAATTTCTGAAATCCTATACTGTTACATACAAATAGGTTTAAATCACTCAGTATTACTGAATCAAAGAATGGATGCAGTTTTGTCTCAATTCTTCATGAAAGCAACCTGATGAATCCCAATTACCTAAAGAAATTTCACAGTAACATTTTGCAGTAATATTTTCTCAGAGAAACTTACCATTTTCTGACTGCCACCACTTTTTTTTCCTATCGGGCTCAAAAGTTGTGATAACATTTTCAACCATGTGACTGTTGTGCTGTGTATAGGGATTATATGGGTATCTGGAATCACAGAGGAAGCACTTCTGTTCAGCCTAGAAAACAAAACAAGCAGAATAAAAGATGAATTTGGTCTCTTCCCTAAAGATTTGGTGGATGTACATGTATTTATGCCATCACAGGACTGGAGCCTGTCATGTTGCTTTGGGTGGCTGTGCTTTTAATCACTCAGGCTTTCATATGTAAGGGACAAGCCCAAGAAAATCATCATAGGCACAGACCATGCATACAGTAAATGTTGGCCTCGGTTTGCCCCAGGTACCCTATAAACAATACACTTTTTCAGTTGTGGAAAAGGGATCTCAGTAAGACCAAAGAAATAAGTTTGTCAAGGTGTTGGTTCTGGGCTTAGCTGCCAGAGGGTTTGTTTTGCAAGAGTTTCTCGGGAGAATTTTTTTTTTTTAAAGTGAAGCTTTTATTCATGTCTCATAAAGGCTGTACAATCAGAGACAGCAGTGAGGAGGCAGAGGGGATACAAGGGAGGACTGGATCTTTCAAGATCTGAAGAAACCTTGAAGAGGAACATTCACTAAATCATTTATACATTTTTTTTCCTCTCTCTTTTGCACATTTTCTAGCAGCTAGGAGACCCAGCCAGGAGAAGCACACAGGTGCTGTTGTATAAATGGAAGGCAAGGCTGGATCCAGGTACAATGTAAGTAGGTGGTATGGGCTGACACCACCACCTTGGCCACTGTCAGTGCCTTTTGTAGGCATAGAGAAACTGGAAAAGTCTAAAATGATGCAAAGGAGGAAAATCAGGATGCAAATAGGATGGAAGTGTCTTGTTTGAAAATGTAACAAGCAGAAGAGTAAGGTGGCAATGATTAGCCAATATCCCAATGCTGAATGAGAGCCTTTTGTCTGCAAAAGGGCTTTGAAAGCGAGGGCAAGGAGCTCCTATTTAAGGTGATAAGAGGGGGATTGGGTGGGAGAGGTAAGGAGAGGTGACAAGGCTAACATGCCAGGCTGGGAGATGACCCGTGCTGAGCCATGTGGACAAGCCCAAGCAGCATTCGATCACCGCCAGCAGTGCCATGGGATGCCCAAGGCGGGCAGGGGCGGCTATGCTATGCAGGCAGACTCTACAAGATTTGGGCAGAGCCTGTGCGCGAGGACTCAGGGATAAGCCAAAGTGGAAGGTGATGCCCAAGCTGTGTGCCTGGCTGGCAGGGATGCTGGCAGGACAACACAGCACCCCAGAGGGAGTTGAAGGAGGAGGCACAGATTTGGTGCCCTTGGCTGGGAGGCTGGCAGGGATGCTGCTGAAAACAAGAAGTGGAAGTCAGTGGCAGAAGCTGGGCTGGAAATGACCCAGAAGGAGACAGGTGGGGAGGCACCCCATCCAGCACACTCAGGATCTACGGAGAAGTATTAGGAATGGTTTGGACATCTTTGTATGATGAAATCTCCTGGGACTTATTCACATTTAAATAAACAAAGAGATACAGATTTACAGGTATGGTGTAATTCATGCGTTTTAAATGTTACAATAAATATATATTATATTCAGTCATTCTATACCACACTTGGCATATGTACGAAGGTACAATTTAGAAGACGAGATAGAAATATAAAAAAACCCTCTGTCATCTCATTTCACAAAGCTCTGGTAAGGAGAGCTCAGGTTATTGAAGCATTTGGCAGGACTGTGCACACCCACTCTCTGGTTTATACAGACACATACAATGTGACACTCAGTCAACTTAGGTTTAAGGTTGCTCCATAAAAATCTTTTTGTGCCCCAAAGGACAAGCACGTGCATGTCCACATAAGGCAAGTCTGGCAGATCCCATTTGCCTCTGAACTGTGCAGCTTTATACTCTCCTCAATACTGAGTCCTCTTTCTTTTCCTTTCAAAACATGTGCAATTAGTAAATCAAATCATAGGGCTAAAAACCACTTAACCTACATTTAGAAACAGTAAGACACATTAAAGACTGAAAATGATTTGCAGTGCTTCTTTTCAAACACAAAGCAATTGAACTGTAATTTTTTTTCATCGTTTCAGTAAGACATCCCAACCGAGTCCTGGCTCTTGGCAGCTTGCCACATTGACTAACACAAACTTTCACGAGTAAGGTTTGCTCTCCTCATGATGCCTGACACAGGTCATCAGGAGGGGAATTGGGGAAGGAAGCACTTGGCTTTGCAAGATGCGAAGCTTCCTGGCCTGCCTCCAGCAAAGCATTCAAGAATGTGCTGGTGAGAAAGAGAAACAAGTTGAGTGGGACTCTGATATGCCCTAGGTGACACACACATTTAAGGGGAGCTGGTACAGCAGATCACATTGCCAGAACACAAGCCCCTATCTCTCAAGCTCTGCAAAGCAGCAGAATTTGTAGCTCTCATCCTCTTCAGAGACAGTCACCAGAGGTCAAGATACATTGAAGCAGCATTAAATCACAGGGATTATTGCGGAACAGCTGTTCCTTTTCATGAGTGTATTTACCTAATTCAAAGGATAAGTACAGGCAAGTGAAAATATTAATTTTTTATTGCTTTTTGATCTCCTCTTAAAAAGAGAAAAAAAAGACAGTCATCCAGCTGAGGGCCAGAAAGACGATGCCTCTGAGATGGCTCTTTGTGCTTGTCTACCAAGCAGTGCCAAGACTCAGAGCACACCCAATGAGTTAGTACCCGAATTCACTTGCTCAAAAATGTGGGGAAAACCAGCAAAGGGTGAAGAGTGGCTCACAGGCTTTTTTGGAAGAGGGAAAGAGGTATTTACATTTTGCAGAAAACTGGAGTTGCAGTAAGTATCTTGGAGCAGTGCTTGGTGCCATCTCACTATGGCTGAGCTTTGTGTTGTAAATGTGTCACAGCATTTTGCCAGAAGGTCATAAACTGTAATTATTTTCAAACGCTTATAAATTAAGCTGTGTTTTATTAAGTTCCTCTTCAGCCTACAGCTGGTATTTAGTGAAAATATTTCTATTTGCAACAATTTATTAGCTACGTGGGGCCAAGTCCTCCAGGGCATGCAACAGGGGAATTCCCGTTTCTGCCTGCCCGTGGCTCCTGCACACCCACTGGTCCCCCACAGCCCCCATCACTGCAGCCAGGGAGCAAGAGGGATCCCTCTGATCGCCCACGCTTTGGATCTCCCCACCCACTCACCCGGTCAAAGACTGGACAACACCATTAGGTTTTCCCTCTGCTGGAGATGGCTTTCTGCTTTTATCAGCGTTGGGCTAATTTCAGATCAAAAGACATGAGAGGACATGGTGTGAATCGCTTAGTAGGCTGCCTCAGGTCTCAACACTGTATGGGACACGTCATCGAGCAAAGGCCCGTCGAGGCAGTGCCTACAGCCTGCAGGACCGCACTGCTCCTGCTAAGCACTCATACACATGCAAGCTGTGGTCCTCACCTCCGAGGTGTGAGTGGGAAAAGGACGTGCAGAGCAATCCCTGTGCTCATTTGCATCTCATGGATGTTTCTCCCTCTTGAGAAGCTATACATCACTGCAGAGGCTGTTTGCTGCCAAACTCTCCATATGTGCTGCAATAAGGCATAGCCTTCCACCAGGCTTATGTCATGCTGTCTGATGTTTGTTTCAGACAACTTCAGCAGAAACTTCCTAGTCTGGGCAACTTCTTTTTACAGGTGAGAATATTATTAGTAAGCAGAGATCATTTTATTAAAAAAGAAAGAGCAAACCAACCTCTAGGTAGCCTATAATGCAGTACTTCTGAGGGTTGTTCATTCCACAGGTTGACGAGGCCGTTAATTGCTTGCTGCGACCCAGGAGGAGGTCCCCAACGGCCGGGTGGCAGGACCCAGCATCACAGTCATCCTGTGCATGCTGGAGCCTTAGCAGCGCTGAGTGCGAAAGAAGATCAAAGGCAGATGAAATTGTTTTGTATACCCAGCAGTGTTCTCCAGAGAAAATCAGTTACAACCTAACATCAGCAGAAAACTAAATTATCCTTTGCCTGTACTCCTTTTGTCCTTAATAATATCATTTTGTAGAATCTTGAAGAGCTTTGGTAATGAAAACACCTGCTGCAAAATCATTATAAAAATGTAGCTAGCATAGTGAAAATCTATGCTAAAACTTAAATTCTCAGCACATTATTGCACAGTAAACATGCCAATCTGCTACAAGCGATAATTTATTATGCTTCCTACCCTGGCATACCCATATCCAGCACTCCTGCAGCAGAATCACAGGCATCTCAATTGACTCTGTGAGGAGAGCCAGATTTGGATTATTTTAGTCAAGCATTGGAACAGGCTGCCCAGAGAGGTGGTGGAGTCACCATCCCTGGAAGTGTTCAAAAAATGGGTAGACGTGGCTCTTTGGGACATGGTTTAGTGAGCATGGTGGTGTTGGGTTGATGGCTGGAGTGATGATCTTAGAGATCCTTTCCAACCTTAATGATTCCTAGTTTTTACTTTCATTATAAATAATCCAGCCACCAAGCCAGGAAACATGAAATTGCTACTCTACCCTTAATTGTTTTAGTGGTGGACTTGGTAATGTTAGGTTAATGGTTGGACTGGATGATCTTAAAGGTCTTTTCCAACCTAAACGATTCTATGATTCTATGATTCTGCTGATTTCTGCTGATTTCCAAGTGATAAAGGTGGAACTGAGATGACCATTGATGTCAGAGGTCCCTCAGATTTTCTGATGATTCGCAATGAACCTCCTGGTCCGGTCCCAGAAGCCTCTGTTCAGACCCCATGGAAAGGTCATTAATAATTAAACAAAATAATTCTGAATTCTCTAAATAATTGCAGGATCTTTTGGTTTATTTTGCCTGAAACAACTTTAAATATTTTCCCCATTATGTTAAGACCTCCCTTACAGGGCTTGTCCTTTTAAACAAGTTCTGTCCTGAAACCCTGAACAGGAATGGGTACCTTGGAGGCTTTATCTGTTCAGCTTTACTTGGCTCAACTTGTTGTAAAAAGTGCAGTTAAAAAAAATACAATCGATACGTGAAGATCCCACAGAACACCAGAAGCTGTAATGCAATTACAGCAGTAAATATACAGTATTTTACAGCCAGGTTTCAGCCTATGGCTCAGGCTACACTTCAGATGATGAGTGAAGCTTGACTCTTCAGGTATAAAGCCAGGCATATGTTTGGTTAGGCTGTCCTTTAATTATCCAAGATCCATGATATTAGCTGTCAGTAGATAATGATTGCCCCCTTCAGGACCTGATTCAGACTCAATTGCAACAGTTACTCAGTTACTCAATTAGCTTTTCTTTGTATTTAAAGGTTTCATACCACTCATAGCTCCTAGGCAGAAGAGAGGGGAATAAGGACTCGCTGTCACGTGTATCTTAATAGCGTACATAAAAGATGCACTCCAACAAAATCTTGCAGAGATATGTAAATTACATGGTAATATTTCAAAATTGGCCTGAATAACTGTAAAATCTGTACTTACTGAGGTGCAACAGGATGGCCAGCCCCAGCTTCATGCCTCCCCGTGAAACTCAAACTGGTGCCGCTGCAAGAGAAGAACTGGTGGGTCACCCGGTGCCCTGCCTCACCAAGGCACCCCTTGCGCGTAGGCTTACTCAGAGCTAGCCTTTAGTAAAGTGACAGAGCCATAATAAAAATATAAAGGTTAAAAGGAAACCCTGGCTTTGATTTTGTTTTAGCAATAATTTCTCCTGACAATTTTCAGCACTGAAATTGGGATGAAAGCAGATGGGCACCTCACTAGTGCTTTCGGAGAAGACCATAAAAACATATTCACAACATAGTTTAAAGTAAAACCAAAATGCTATCAGGAAAAATACTGTAGTATTTGAATAGAAGCTGTTTAATCCTAACTAAATTCAGCAGGGCTGTTTGCAGAGATCTAACTCCTTCTCTGGAGGTTAATGTTTCTTGCATTGACTTACGACAAAGACCGAGGTTCTAGTGAAGATGCCACTGAGAAATGCCTGAAGTCAGGTGTTACGAATTTTGGCAGAGACAAGATTATAACCACATCTTTAAGCGCGGTGAGGAAAAACAGGTAATGTCAGTATCAATGCAAGACTTGTACAGGGGAACCTCAGCGTGAACCCAAGGGAAGTTCATTGTGGCATTTACTTCACACCTTTCCTCTTCCTACTCACCTGGAGGAAAATAAGACTTGCCAACACAAAACCTCTGTAGGAAAAACAGAAGGCAGCCATGGGTATAAAAGACAACACAGCACGCTGCCACCAAGTAGGGTTCCCAAACTGCAGCCTGCCCCCCATCTTTGCACCTTCCACCTCTTTCTCCATCTGTAGGCGCCAGCGCAGACAGCATGCCCTGATGCAGCTCCAGCTGCTGGGGCATCCCCACGTGAGCATGCCCAAAGTGCTGCTTCCCGCCTCTGTCCTTGTTCCTCACCTTCATACAGCCACCACTGTGCTGAATGAGCTAAGATGAAATAACCCCCCCCCAGAATAGGGGCAACAAAGCAAAGGCATTCAAAGTATTTCAGATGTTACAGGCTCCACGTAGGCTTGGTTCACGTGGCTCTACACAGCACATGACACAACAG